TGTAGGCAAGAGTGTGACCATGCTGGCTTTCCAACTCATCTTCCTAGTAGCAGAAGCTTTTGGTTTAAAAAGAGAAGGCGAATTGGACTCTCCGGCTTTTGTGAAACATAAAAGTGGCACTCCTTTTGGGCTGCTGCCTTCCCTGCTGTTTGGAATCATTTATCTATGGCCAGGCCTCTACTCAGGGAAACCAGGGTGTGCCGGGGCCTAGAGCTGTGAACGTGCTCCCTGCGGTGTGTAAAGTTGGGAACTGAGAAGTGGCCTGCAGCTGGAGCAGGACAGTGTCCTGAGGCCAAGGTCAAGGGTACACCACTCTTGGGTGTTCTGGGAGCATGAGCTGAGAGAGAGGTGCAGCTTGAGACTTGTTCACCCTGCAGGAAACCTAGGCTGAAAAGTACTTGGTGAACTTGGTGCAAAAAGCAGTTTCAACCCCTCTAATCTCTAATCTTTGACATCCTAGCCGGAAAGCTAGATAAACTTCCATTAACACATCTCTCGAGGCCACCAGGCCTCTGTGGGTAAAGACCCTGTGCAATTGGCCTGCAGAAGCCTGTTTAACTCAAAATGGCCTTTAGTTTCCACCCTGTAAGACCATCGGGTCCCAACTTCAGAGGCTTTCCTACAGTTTATGCTCAAAGAGGGCGATCCCCTCACGTTCCCTCACCTCTCATGGCATAAAACAGGGATTTCTCATCCTGGTTTTATCACCATCGAACTCCTAGCAGTTACTAAAGTCCTTTTCCTCCCAACCTCCCTCCTCTCTGCCTCACACCACAATTACTCCCAACCCATGCAGAGTCTACAGCAAGAACCGTCTGGGTTGGCCAGAACCACAGCCCTCAGATGGGGTGTTTGTGTCTAAGAACCTAACTTCCTCCTTCCCTCTCTGGGCAACCATATGAATGCAGCAGCCAAATGTCAGAATTATTCTCCTGTCCCTAATCCAGAAATCCCAGAAGTCTAGGGAAGCCCTGGGGACCTTCTGGAAGCACTAATGATAGCAGTAGGGGGGCTGCTTTCCCTGCAGGACTCCTCTGCAAGGGCCTGGCCTTCTGGCCCTGCCCACGCTGCTCCCTGCCCTGGACGTGTGATACCTGGCTGGCCAGTCTCCTGTTGTCCTGCCCTCACCTGTTGTAGAGCTTCTGTTGTTTTTAAGAGGAAAGCAGGAGGTTAACTCTTAAGAGTTTTGTAAACTGAAGAGATTGAATAAGATCATAGACTGTTTGCCCACATGCTTGCTGTAGCTTGAGGTTCATCACTGTAAGACTTGCCCATATGTGCAGACGGCAAATGCTCCGTTGGGTTCTTGGGGGTCAGGGTAGTGCAGAGTTAGGGTAGGAAGCTAGGGGAGCTGGGGCTGGCATTTGTCATAGTAGTTAAGCCATAGGTTAGGATGCCCACATCCCATATCAGAGTACCTGGGTTCGAGTCTTGGCTCTTCCTCTGATTCTGCTCCAGTTTCATCTTACTGCTAACGTGCACCCTGGAAGGCAGCAGGTGATGACTCAAGTAGTTGGCTCTCGGGTCAGGCATTGTGGCCCAGCAGGATAAGCCACTGCTTGGTATCTGCATCCCACACTGAAATGCCTGGGATCAAGTCCTGTCTCTGCTTCCCATCTAGCTTCTTGCTGCTATGCCTGGGATACAAAAGATTAATGAATTCTCAAGAACTTGGATTCCTCCCACCCACATGGGAGACTTGGGTAGAATTCCTAGCTCCTAGCTTTGGCCTGGTCCAGCCCAAGCTTTTGTGGGCATTTAGAGAGTAAACCAAAGTAAGATCCGTGTCTCCGTCTCTCCCTCCCTGTGCCCGCCCCCATCACACTGCCTCTCAAATAAAAAGAAAATTCAGGCCAGCTTTGTGGTGCAGCGGGTTAAAGCCCTGGCATCCCATATGGGAGCCAGTTTAAATCCCAGCTGCTCCTCCTCCAATCCTGCTCTCTGCAATGGCCTGGGAAATAAATAGAAGATGGCCCAAGTCCTTGGGCCCCTGCACCCATGTGGGAGACACGGAAGAAGTTTCTGGCTCCTGGCTTCAGATCGGCGCAGCTCTGGCCATTGGGGTCATTTGGGGAGCAAACCAACAGAATGGAAGATCTCTCTCTCTCTAGTTCTACCTCTCTCCTTAATTCTTTCAAGTAAATAAATCTTAAAAAAAAAAAATGAAAGAAAAAGAAAATTAACAAATGGTTCAGTCCCTGCCACCACACAGGTGACCCAGATAGGATTCCTGGCTCCTGACTTGAGCCTGGCCCAGTCTTGGCTGTTGCAGGCATTTGGGAAATCCCTCTTTCTGTCTATCTGTCCATCCCTCTCTCCCTGTCCCCTGTCTCAAATTAAAAAAAAAAAAAAAAAAAAAGTGGTGTTGTGCCAGAGGGGGCGGGGTGAGAGGATGAGAGGAAAGGAGCTGGAAGGCTTGACCAAAGGCCCCACATTATCTCCCATGGGCTTCCAAAAAGCTGGGCTGGGCCTAGCAAGAGGTCTGAGGAGCAGTTAATGTAATAAGAAAACTCACCTATGGCTGTGTTGATTTTAAAATGCCTTTTTAAAATATCAGATTTTCAAAAGACTGAACGTAGAAATGATTTGCCTAGAAGTTGTAGCTGGCAGGATTCTGGATGTAGTTTGAGGTCTAGGCCGGCAGGCTTTGCCGAGATTGAAAGTGTGATGTGAGAGGCGATCTGTGATTGTGCCTTCAGAAGCCGAGAGAACAAAGTTGCCATGAGCGGAGATGGCTCACCCCCAACCTCCCCTCCATCGTTAGTGACTTTGTGAGGTCACTGCTGTCATTGCTAACCATCTGTGCTGTTTCCCACATCACTTATGGGCCCTGTGAAGCCCTTCCAGTCCCGTTTCCTAGCATGTACCCGGGCCTTTAGGAATCCTCACTGTTCGCTCTGCCCCCACCTCAGTGCCTTTGTAGTTCCCCCATCCTTCTGTGCTCCCAGGAACACCTGCTCCCTTCTAGGTAACTCCAGTGTCAGTGCACTTGGAAGCCTTCCCTGGTGCTGCCATCTGAGAGCAGAGCTGCTGTGTGCCCCCAACCTTGAGCTTATTCCCTAAAGAAGCCCATGATGTACTGAGAGAATTGAGGGGTTTGAGTTGCCCACCATGGGCAGTGTCTGTAGAGTGAGTATTGGAATACCTGGGTGTCTTCACCCTTCCTAGCGTACAGTGAGTGCCTTGTGAACTTCTGCATACTGTGGTCCTTACTGCTTCCTGGGCCACATTTTCTACTGAAGGTCTTAGCATGGAATTTCCTTCAACTTAAACCTCCCAAGCTTACAGGAGTACCTCAGGCGTTAGTATCTTGGGGCTGCATCCACCCTAGTGAGCATTCATCTTGAAGCACAGAGGAGTGTTAATCCTTCCCGTTCCCTTGTGTGGAAGCCGCTCAGTCCTCTAGCTCTCTCTCTTCTGTGCTTTGTCTAGCTCTATTTTGTTCTTGTTTTTTGGTAATTTTTTGAGAATTTATTTGAGAGCAGAGACAGACACACAGACACTAACAGAGCTCCCACCTGCTGGTTCAAGCCCCAGATGCCCACAGTGGACAGAACTAGATCGAGGCCAAAGCCAGGATCCCAGAACTCAATCCAGGTCTCCCACATTGGTGGCAAGGACCCGAGTACTTGGGCCATCACCTACTGCCTCCCAGGGTCTGCATTATCAGGAAGCTGGAATCAAGAATAGAGCTGGGACTCAAACCCAGGCACTCCCATAGCAATGCGAGTGTCCCAGATGGCATCTCTGTTCTCTGCTAAATGCCCGCCCCCTTCCCTGTTTTGCACTCTCTGGCACATTCCCCTGCAGCATTCCCAGAGTGGATGTAAGACCAGGAAAGATGGCTTCACTTTTTCTCCTCTCCTGGAGCCAGGCATTTCCTGGCCTTTCGAGCACTGACTTCAGAGAGCAGTTTGCAGGGACTCTTCTGGAGTTAGGGAATGCAGAGTCCGTCCCCTAGAATGTGGACCAGATTCTCTTTCCCCAAGCAGCTGATCTAATAAATGCATGACAGTACAGAGACGTGTCCACCACCCGTGTCCGCCTCTGCAGCCCAGCCCACCCGTGTTAGTCAGAGATCACCAGAGAAACAGACCGGCAGGATGTTGAGAGAGGTTTATTTTAAGGAATTGGCTCATGCAGTTGTGGGGGCTGACACACTGGAAAGTCCAGCAAGAGTCGTGTTGCAGTGCTGGACCTAAGGCTGTCTAGAGGCTGACTTCCCTCCTTGGAGGGCCTCAGTCTTTTCTGTTCAAGCCTTCACTGTCTGAATGTGGCCCACCATGTCACAGAAGGTAGTCTGCTCCCCTCAGAGTGTGCTGCTATCAGTGTTAATCACATCTCTCTAGCATCTAGGCTGGTGTTTGATAGACCCCAGAGGCTAGCCACGTGGACAAATAAAATTAACCTTCACACCATCATGCTTACTTCCCAGCCCTGGTTTGTGGTCTTCTGCCTTTGATCCTTTCATTCTCTCTGAAGAATCTGCTCCTTGGGCAGGCATTTGGTGCAGTGATTAAGACGCTGCTTGGGATGCCCATATCACATTTCATAGTGCCTGGGTTGAAGTCCTGCCTCCGCTTTGGATGCAGCTTCCTGCAGATTTGCACCCTGGGAAGTAGTAGATGACGGCTCAAGCACTTGGGTCCTGGCCACCCACAAGGAGCTGGATTGACTTTCAGGTTCCTAACTTCAGCCTGACCCAGCCCTGACTGGTTGGGGGCATTTGGGGAGTGAACCAGCTGGCGGAGGGACGATCTCTCTCTGTCTCTCTCTACTTTTCAAATAAAGTGAAAATGAATAAATGAAAATTAAAAGCAAAAAGTCTACTCCTCTTTCTGTAACAGTTCTTCCTCCAGTCCAGTCGCTAGCCTGTGTTTCCAGTCTAAGCTGAGTCAGTCTCCATTTTGTTCTTGGACACCTGTTTTGTCCCTTGGGAGGCTTCCCTGGGGGTCTGGGCCCCTTAGAACGTGGAGATTTCCTCTCATGTCTTGTTTTAGGTATTGGGAAGAATGTGGTTTGCGAGAAGGCGGCAACATCGGTGGACGCCTTCCGGATGGTGACGGCCTCGCGCTACTACCCGCAGCTGATGAGCCTGGTGGGGAACGTGCTGCGCTTCCTGCCTGCCTTCGTGCGCATGAAACAGCTGATTGCCGAGCACTACGTGGGCGCGGTGATGATCTGTGACGCCCGCATCTACTCGGGCAGCCTGCTCAGCCCCAGCTACGGCTGGATCTGTGACGAGCTCATGGGTGGCGGGGGCCTGCACACCATGGGCACCTACATCGTGGACCTGCTGACGCACCTGACTGGCCGGAGAGCTGAGAAGGTGCACGGGCTGCTCAAGACCTTCGTGAGGCAGAACGCTGCCATCCGTGGCATCCGGCACGTCACCAGTGACGACTTCTGTTTCTTCCAGATGCTCATGGGCGGGGGTGTGTGCAGCACGGTGACACTCAACTTCAACATGCCGGGCGCCTTTGTGCACGAGGTCATGGTGGTGGGCTCAGCGGGGCGCCTCGTTGCCCGGGGAGCTGACCTCTATGGGCAGAAGAACTCCGCCACGCAGGAGGAACTGCTCCTCAGGGACTCGCTGTCCGTGGGGGCGGGGCTGCCGGAACAAGGGCCGCAGGACGTCCCACTGCTCTACCTGAAGGGAATGGTCTACATGGTACAGGCCTTGCGCCAGTCCTTCCAGGGGCAGGGGGACCGCCGCACCTGGGACCACACGCCTGTCTCCATGGCCGCCTCGTTTGAGGATGGGCTGTACATGCAGAGTGTGGTGGATGCCATCAAAAGGTCGAGCCGCTCCGGGGAGTGGGAAACTGTGGAGGTGCTGACCGAGGAGCCTGATGCCAACCAGAACCTGTGCGAGGCGCTGCAGCGGAATAACCTATGAGCCAGCGTGAGGGCTTCCTGCCCCCAGAACTGTGACAGGGAGCGGGGCTGGAGCAGAGACTGTTTCACCGAGTGAGTCAGCTTAGGCCAGGGTTGGGTGAAACCAAAGGGTGGCCCTGGAAAACCACCCTCGCTGGCTGCTTACTCACTCCTCAGACTTGCAGGGTGGCGAGGGCTCGGGCGCCCTGCTCAGGGCTGGCACCGTGTGTGTGGCCTGGAGCCGCCACCAGGCCTCTCTGTGGTTATCCCAGTGAGTGTAGCCAGCAAGAGCCTGCCTTGTGGGCTCCTCTGCCTGATTTGTGGTCCTAACAGGCTGAGAAAGTGCAGCATGGAGCCTGCAGGGCTGCCCCTTGAGGCCTGAGAAGTGACAAGAAGCCTGCGGCCAGGCCCTTCTCAAGCCAGGGCATCTCGGGCTGGTGAGGGCAACAAGTCACGGCTAGGGAGCCTCCCCCGTGGCCTGGCCCCTCCGCCAGGCCAGGCTTTCCTACCCTGGTGGGAGGGGGGTCTTTATTAGGTGACCTAGGGAAGATGGCCTCTGGGCAGAGAAGAGACAAGGCAGAGTCTAGAACATCCGACAAACGTCAATAAACCAGAAAATATGGCCTCCTGGCGTGTGGGGTGGTTCTTTCCAATGGCTGGGTTTCTTCGCTAATTAAAGTCTTGTTTATTACCGTAGATTGTTTTCTTTCCTCACAGCAGCTCAGCCTGCCGGGGATCTGTCCCCATCTGTGGGCCGTCAGAGGCCGGGTTAGTCCCTCATGGCCAAATCCCAGGAGCCCTCAGAAGAAAAGGATTTCCTCAGAGGACGAGAGTCCAGGCGGCCGGCCTGCTGTCAGGCAGCCAGCAGGAGAGTGTGAGTCAGGAGGCCTCTGTTCTCAACTCTGGGGGTGGCTCCAGGAGAGCACTCAGGGAACGGAGGTGGGGTTGGTCCCGGGAGGCTGGGCAGGGTGAGCGTGAGGGGAAGGGCTTCCTGTGCTGCAGGTTTGGCTCCTACCTGACCCGGCTAGCCAGTCCATGTTAACTGTCACCCTGTTCCCCACAGGTGCCTCCCAGCCACGTGGGAAGTGTGGTAGGTGCCAGGAAAGGTCACGTCCCCTTTGTTTCCTGTCCCAGGCGGCTGGGGTCCACCTCTGTTCCCTCCTCTGACCTTCCTCCCTCTTCCCTTCCCTGGCTCCTGATAGAAAGGCCCAGGCAGGGCTTCCTGTTCCTCTGGGCACCCTGGTAGAAGTCACCAGGCCTGTTTTCCTGTGGTGTCCTGGTCTCAGACATTGTCCTTGTGAAATAAAATAACAAGGGCAGTGTTGCATGTGCTTCTTGCATGCTGAGGCCCTGGGCAAACACTTCATGCATATTAATCTCCAAGCCGCTCTAGGAAGGGGCTGCAATTAATATACCTATTGTTCACATCAGAAAGCTCAGGCATACAGGGGAAGTTATTTGCCTCTTGTAGGCTTGTGGTTTTTTAAAGGTTTTTTTTTTTTTTTTTTTTTTTTTTTTGATAAGTAGATTTACAGAGAGACAGAGAGACAGAGAGAAAGGTCTTCCATCTGATGGTTCACTCCCCAATGGCAAGAGCTATGCCGATCCGAAGCCAGGAGACAGGTGCTTCCTCCTGGCCTCCCATGGGGGTGCAGGGGCCCAAGCACTTGGGCTATCCTCCACCGCTTTCGTGGGCCACAGCAGAGAGCAGGACTGGAAGAGGAGCAACTGGGACTAGAGCCCGGTGCCCATATGGGATGCTGGCGCCGCAGGCGGAGGATTAACCTAGTGCACCACGGTGCTGGCCCCTAAGTAACTTTAAAAAAAAAAAAAAATTATTTGTTTGAAAGGCAGAGTTATAGAGACACAGAGGCAGAGAGAGATCTTCCATCCAGGGCCTGCGCTGTGACGCAGCAGGTTAACACCCTGGCCTGAGGTGCCAGCATCCCATATGGGCACCAGTTCAAGACCTGGCTGCTCCACTTCCGATCCAGCTCTCTGCTATGGCCTGGGAAAGCAGTAGAAGATGGCCCAAGTCCTTGGGCCCCTGCATCCACATGGGAGACCCAAAAGAAGCTCCTGGCTCCTGGGTTCAGATCGGCGCAGCTCCAGCCGTTGTGGCCAATTGAAGAGTGAACCATCAGATGGAGGACCTCTCTGTGTAACTCTTTCAAATAAATAAGTCTTTAAAAAAAAAAAAAATCTTCCATCCGATGGTTCACTCTCCGAGTGGACGGAGCTGGGCCAATCTGAAGCCAGGAGCCAGGAGCTGCTTCCAGGTCTCCCACATGGGTGCAGGAGCCCAAGGACTTGGGCCATCTTCCCCTGCTTTCCTATGCCATAGCAGAGAGCTGGATCAGAGAGGAGCAGCCGGGACTTGACCTGGTGCCCATATGGGATGCTGGCACTGCAGGTGGCAACTTTGCCTGCTATGCCCCAGCGCCGGCCCCATCCTGTAGGTTTGAAAAAGCTGGGAGCCAGGTCAGGCCCATCTGACTTCACAGCCTGACCTTGAACCGGCTGTTATCCTGGCACTTGTGGCTCTTTGTGCTGGTTCCTGAGTACCCAGGCATTGTCCTTGTAGCAGGAATCCCAGCCAGGCCTGAACTGGGAAGGGGAGAGTCGCCAGCAGGCAGGACACAGACAGTGGAGTGCTGCCCCTGAGGTAATCAGCCCGTCAGCTCAGCTCCAGGCAATCCCTCTGTGTGTTAATGGGGAAGTCCAGGTACGTCCTAAATCTGAGAGTTGACCAAGAAAATACAAGGTGACTTGGATGCTCCTACAGAAATAAGAAAGGGGAAGTCGCTCACCCAGAGTGGCACTTAGGTTCTGGAGAGCTCTGTTGTTTGCAGAGCCGCAGAGGAAAGAGCTGGAGCAGGTGGCAGTGGGCCTAGTGCCGAGCTAATTGACGAGGACCTCAAGCCAAGTTGCCGGAAGAGTAAACCACCCAGCATCCCTCAGAAACTTCTGTCATCCTGTGTCTCTCGGCCATCAGAGCTAGTTGCTGTCACCTTGGGGTGGGGAGGAGAGATGGCCCTTGAAGTAACCCAGATAACCTGTGCCTAGAGGAGACCTGCGAACCCTAGCCTTCAACTGGTTCCAGGCTTGTCCTGCAGCGCCCCCTCCTGGAGGAAGGCAGCATCATCTCCCAGAGCCTGCTTTTCAAATTTGAGGATGCTACCTTCTCTTTCTCGGGTCAGAGTTTTTCCAGACCAGTGGAGATTCTGTCACCTTTCCCCCTGTGATATGGCAAGCAGAAGAGAATCTTCACAATAACCTGTTGCTTATTCAGCTTCCAGCAAAATCTTGTGGGCATTGGGGTGGGGGGGCACTGGTGAAGTCATCCCTCTCCCTGCCTCTTTGGCCATTCAGGCATCATATTTGAGGACTCACAAAGTCTTGAGGAAAATGTTTATTTTCAATGAACTCAGGTTCCCAAGTAGGGAAGGGCCAGATTCCCCTCTCCACTTGAATGCGTGGGCCTGTCCTGATGGCTGTCCTGGCTCAGGCTTAGCAGGAGGGACCGAGCAGGACAGGACAGTCACTTGTACTGAGGAGAGAGTGGGGGCACAAGTGGAGCTGTGCAGACACTCAGCATCTTGTCGATGTCCACCTGGGCTGACTTGTCCACCTCGGCCTTGAGGCAGGCAGTCGCCGCCACGCTGGGTAAACCTGCAGGCTCCTCTCCAGCACCCTCTCCTATGGGAGCCGGAGCAGGGGTGGGGGCCAGTAGTGCATCGAGGCAGGGCATGGCAAGGCCGGAGCCCAGCTCACCTGCCATGGGCAGCAAGGCCTGCAGTTGCTCCACACCCGCCTCCTCAGGAACCAGAGCCAGCTCCGCCTCAGGCTGCAGCTCAGCCTTGGCCTCCTCGTCCCCCTCCCCTGCCTGGTTCAGCTCCGGGTTGCAGTAGTTGATGTACTGGTACAGTGGCCTCAGGCGCTGGGCCTTTCCTGCAAGGACCCAGGGCGGGGCAAGGGCTAGAGTGCCAGGCTCTGTGCCATGTTGGGCCAGCAGGCAGGGAGGGAAGAGGAGGCCCAGGGGCTGCCACTCACGCTCTGGTCCCAAGGCCTCTGAGGGGGCAGGCACTGTGCTGGCCATGGCGGCCAGCACAGGAGCCCCAAGACTCTTGCGTTTCTTTGCTTTCTTGTGCTGTTTCGGGGATGGTGAGGGCTCACTCTGGCTTCCCTCCGACTCCTCCCTCTGCAGCAGTAGCCCTGGTGACAGCTCAGCTTCAACCCTAGGATGGGCATGGAGACTAGAGCTGGGGAGGCTGGGGGACTGCAGCCAGGGACAAGGGGCCTGCCAAGCCAGCCCCCAGGCCCTAGGCCTAGGGAAGAGCCCTGCCTACCCACCACCCCAGGGCTGGTTACCTGTCCCTTTCCTGGTCAGTGAGGCCCCAGGCCCAACCGGGGCCCAGAGCTCATGTGAGCCAAGTCCTCATCTCCCGTGGTGCTCCCCACAGCAGGAAGCAGAAAGGGTTGAGGGCACTGGTAGTGGGAGGAGACAAGAATCTGCTCTACAGGAGAGCAGGACCTAGAACCCCACTAGGGTGTGAGCCCCACGCCTCAGCCCTGCGGCTCTCTCCCTGGAAGCCTCCTCACTTGACTGGCTTCCTCTTGGGCCCATGACCAGGCCTCATGGGGGAGGCCATAGGCCTGGGGCCTTTCTCCTCTGGTGCTTCCACCTGCGGCTTGAGCGCTCGTTCCTGGAGCTCTGGCTCTGAGGCATGTCCTCTTGGACACCTGTCTGCACCTGGGGTCCTGCAGGCCTCGTAGGCTGGCTCCAGGCACTGAGCTTCCATCACTGGGCACTAGAAGTGACACATAGGCAACTGGTCACCATGGTTAGGTAGAGTCTATAGCCATAAGTCAGCTGGTGCCCAGCATTAGCCACCAAACACGGGGTGGAGGGCACCAGCCCATGCCCAGCCCCAGCTTGGTCATCCGGAGTCCGGTCCCCCAGTGTGGCACGGCCAGGGTGTGAAGGCTTCACAGCCTTGGCCATCACCTCAGAGCGGCCACTGGGTGCCTTCACGAGCTGTGCCGGCCCCACGGCCACCCCTTCCTGGGCTCCTGGCGGCCTCTCCGCCCCTGCCGAGGCCATGGCTGCGCGGGGTCAACGCGTCCTCGCCGGTTACCTACGGAGAGAAGGGAGACGAGCCATGAGGGGCTGCACTGGTGGGCCCTGAGCTGACCACAGAGACTGGCTGGGAAGCGAGCTGCGAAGGGAAATTGGTGGTCGCCCCACCTGCCCTCGGCTGGAACTACAAGCCCCAGAAGGCCTTGCGCCAGGGTCACTGCCCCTGACCTCAGGGACGGAAGCCATTCGTTGCCTGGCAACAGCAACTCCCTTCGCGGTGCTGCAGCTGGCGGCAAAACTGCTAGAGTGAGCCGGGCTCGGGGGTTACCGGGAAGAGGCCGCGAACCCCGAAGGGACGTGGGTTAGCGGCGGGGCGGGAGACGAAGGGGGCCGGGAATGGGGGGCACTGCCATGGTCTGGGTCTAGGTGGAGGGAGGAGGCGCAGGGCTGGGGAAGGGAGTCCCGGGCGGGAGGTGCACAGCCTGGCAGGCCTCGGTGCACCGTTGCAGGGCGTCGAGGACAGCATGTGCGAGGGCCCGTCCCGCATCTCGGGGCCCATCCCCCCAGACCCCACGCTCTGCCCAGACTACTACCGGCGGCCGGCCTCAGGTGAGTCGGGGGTGCTGCGGAGGGGGCAAGGCCCGGGATCGCCTGCCGCTCCACCGCTGAGCTCCGCACTCGGCCCTGTCCCGCCCCTCAGCCCAGGGCCGCCTCGAAGGAAACGCGCTGAAGCCGGACGCCACCCCACCCCGCGGGCCCCGCATCAGGCCCGGAGGCCGAGAGATCTTGGAGCGTGGCTGGCGAGGCGTAGGGGGCGTGCTGCTGCAGCTCGAGGGCATCTCCCTCAGTCCGCGGGTCTCGCCCAAGAGTAAGTCCGGCAGAAGGGGCAGTGAGGCAGTTGGAAATCAAAAGCGGCTGTCCCTTCCCTGACCTGGGCCCAGGCTTTGCCTCTCTTGAGCGTCAGTTTCCCGCGGGAGGGAACCTCATTAATTCATGCATCAAAACGTGTTTCCTGTGTGGCAGGCCTTGTGGGTGCCAGGAAAGCAGGGTCGTAGGCAAGGTGGGAGGCAGTAAGTGAAGACATGAGGCGATCCAGGGTATTTACTGAAAAAATACAGAAAATAACGAGGGGAGATTTACATGCAGGCAGGGGAGCGAGGGGAGGTCTGGTGTGTAGACAGCGTCTGGCAGACACAGAAACCGGGAGATCTTTCTGGAGAGGGCGGGCAGGGAGCTGGTCAGGGCAGAGCCTGGGAGCACCTTTCCCCCAGGGAAGGACCCTAAAGACCATGAGAAGGAGAACCTGAGGCGGATCAAGGAGATCCAGAGACGCTTCCGGGAGCAGGGCCACGGCCGGGAGCAGGGCCAGCCCCAGCCGCTGAAGGCTCTGTGGCGCTCACCCAAGTATGACAAGGTGGAGTCTCGAGTCAAGGCCCAGCTGCAGGTACCCGCCCCAAGGAGCCGAACCCTGGCCTGCACTGTGGGGAGGGAGGCACCTGATGCTGTCATGGCGTGGGGCTGGGGTCACTTCTCAGAAGTGGTCATGGCTATGCTGGTCATGAATGGCAAGTAGGGATTGGGCAAGGGGAGAGTAGTATAGAATATTCCAGAAAGAGGGCGGGCGTGTGGCCTAGTGGTGCAAACGCTGGTTCGGAAGCCTGTATTCCACATCAGGGTGGGTGCTGGGTTCCGTCCCCAGCTGCGGCTCTTTGACCCCAGGGAGGCAGTGGTGAAGGCTGCTCCACCTGAGGGACGTGGGTCGCACTCCTGGTGCCCAGCCTCAGTCATTACAGGCACCTGGGGAGTGAACCAGGCAATGGGAGCTCCGTCTCTCTGCCTCAGGAAAGGAAAAGAAAAAAAAAGCAAAGTGTAATTAAAAGAAAAAAAAATAAAGAACATGCCACAGAGATGGAACCTCACAGGCGGGAGTCCGGAGACCAGCGGGAGCAGGCAGTGAAGGTGCCAGGTTCTCTGCTAGCAGTGTGGCTCCCACTGGGAGAGGGGAAAAGCATGAGGTTAGGCCAGGAAGTCAGCCGGAGCTACGTCATAAAGGACCCCCAAGCCGCTTCCCTTTTTTTCTCCCTCCTCCCCTCCCTTGCTCTCTTTCTCCACTTCTTCCTTCCTCCTCCTTTCCGAGAACCAGAGCGCTCCCATGTGCTGGGTCACTCTCCGAATGCCCACAGTGGCCAGGCCAGGAGCCATCACCACTGCCTCCCAGTGTCTGCATTAGCAGGAAGCTGGGGTCAGCAGCCAGAGCTGGGGATGGAACCTAGGCACTCTGATGTGGAACATGGGGTCTTAACTGTCTAAGCCACTTTCTGGAAAAATTGGATTTATTTGACAGAGAATGCTAGATCCTCCATCCATTGGTTCACTCCACAAATGCCTGCAACAGCTGAGGCTGGGCCAGGCTGAAGCCAGGAAACCAGAACTGAATCCCATATGGGTGGCAGGGACTCAAGTACTTGACCATCACCTGCTACACACACACACATACACAAACATACACACACACAACCCCACACACACCCCAGGATGTATATTAGCAGGAACCTGGAATGAAAAGTGGAGCCCAGACTGGAACCCAGGCACTCTGATAGGGGATGCAGGCATCCTAAGCAATGCCCTTTTTTAATGATTATGGTATTTTCAAAAATGACTGCTTATTTTCATTTACTTGAAAGGCAGATTGAGATATAGAGACAGAAACAAAGGGAGCTTCCATCCTGTGGCTGGGACTGGGCCAGGCAGAAGCCAGGAACCTGGAACTCCATCTGGGTTTCCCTAGTAGAAGGCAGGGTCCCAAGCCCTTGAGCCATCATCTGCTGGCTCTCAGGGTGCAACAGCAGGGAGCTGGACTGGAAGTGAGCAACCAGGACTTCAGCTGGCAGTCTGATATGGGATGCCGACATCTCAAGCGGCAGCTTAACCCACTACACCACCATGGCCACCCCACAGGCAGGGTCTTCACTGCTGTGCCAAATGCCCACCCCGAAGACACTTTTCAAACGCTTACTTTGAGGACAGTGGAAGGGTAGGGCAGGGGTATCATGGTAGGATTTGGTCTTGCGTATATAGCGGCACCATTTTTCTACCCAAGATCTCAGAAGGATGAGCAAGTTTGAGAAAAAAAGACAAGGTCACCCGTGGATGGTCTGAGGCTGGAGCATTTGTGGGATTGCCAGGGGGTGGGATTGTGTCCAGGTAGCAGATGGACACTCAGGTCTGGATCTCAGAGTGAGACCCAAGCGTTATTGACCATCAGGCTGAGCACAAGGAAACCAAAGAAATGACCTTCTGGATTCCAGGGCCTGGAGGCCAGTCGTCCGTGACCTTGGAGGGACTACAGCCAGGAGGCACAGCTAGGAAGGAGAGCAGAGAGTGGTAGCTGGACCAGGACTGAGGTAGAAGAAAGGTGATGATGAGGAGCAGTGCCCCTTCAAGAGGGAACAGGCTTGCAGGGACGGGGAGAGAGAAGTCCCGAGTGGCAGGGACAGGGCATGCTCCTGTGGCTGGAGACCCTGACCTCAGTCTCGCTGCTCCCTCTGCTGCACCCCGCCCCCAGGAGCCTGGCCCTGCCTCTGGGACAGAGCCTGTCAACTTCCTACGGGCGCACTCCCGCTGCGGCCCTGGCCTCCCACCAACTCGTGTCCCCAGTCCCCAGCTAAGCCCACAAGGTCCCAAAACTAAGGTGAGATGATATGTAGGGGCCGGGAGGTGGTTGGACAGGGGAGGGGAGGTGGGTGCAGGGGCCCAGCAGTGCCGTCAGCCACCATCACCCTTGCTATGTCCTACAGGGGCCAGGCCTGGGTGTGGACTTCATTAGTCACAATGCACAAGCCGCCAAGAAGGCCCCCCGGCGCTATTCCCGCTCGCTGCAGGTCCTGGCACAGGTGCTGGAGCAGCAGCAGCAAGCCCAGGAGCGCTACAATGCCACACAGAAAGGCCACGTGCCCCAATAGTAGGTCCCACTAGCCGAGCCTCAGGGTAAAGGGTGCCTGTGGCGGGTGGAAGCCAGCTCCTGCCCTGGGGTCTTCAACCCTGAGCCTGTTCGTCCACAGCTTGTTGGAGCGCAGGGATCTGTGGCGGCGGGAGGCTGAGGCCCGCAGGCTTGGCCAGCCAGATCCCAGCATGCCCCCTGGGCACACACTCATGCCTGAGAGCCAGCGGCTGGAGACGTTGGACAGTCTGCTCCAGAGTAAGTACCAGGCGAGGAGGGGCTGGGCAGGGAACCCACAAGGGACCACGCGCCCCTGTCCAGCACTCACGCCTCTGCCCCCTGTAGGCCAGAGCCAGCTGCTGCGGGAGCTAATACTGCTGCCCGCTGGGGCAGACTCACTGAAGGCCCAGGGCCACCGTGCAGAGCTGGACCGGAAGCTCGTGCAGGTAGAGGAAGCCATCAAGATCTTTTCCCAGCCCAAAGTCTTCGTGAAGATGGATGCCTGAGCCTGTGTGGGGGTCGTGGCGAGGAGGTTCCTGCTACAGATCGCAACATGGCTGCGCAGTGCAGGGTTGGGCCCCGTTACAGGGCGGTGGGGTCGGCAGTATCTCCGGAGCACTCTTCCCAGCCACCAGTGACTACGGAAGGGCTATCCCAGCCTTGGGCCCCTTTGACAAAATTAAACTTTTTGTACGTGGTAGAGTTTCCATAAGAGCTTTTCTTACCCTGGAAATGCCAAGCCCGGCGACTCTCTGCCTGAGGACAGGACAGGTCTCCCTGCGGCCCTCATCCTGCCTCATGTTTGGAGCAGAAGCAAGTTGTGAGGTTGAGGAGGAGGCTGGGGTGGGACACAGAAGGACCATGACTGCATTCGTAGAAAACATTTAATGTTCCCCAGGCCGAGAGGGCCCTGTGAACAAGCTAGCCGCCCCCACCTTGAAGTCCCTGCCATGTCCCAGCAGCCTTGAGTGCCAAGGGGCTGATCCTTGCCTGTCAGAGGCTGAAGCCACTGCCATCTCCTCGTGTGCCGCTCCCCCAGCCAGAGCCGGCCTGCTCCCGGTCATCCAGGGAGAGCAGAGAGTTGTGGGCACCAGGAAGGAGGCAGCTGGGGTCCAAGTCCCAGCATGGGGGCCCCTGAGACAGCCCATTGGAACAGGGAGGCTGGCGGTTCTCAGTGACCAGGTCGCCGCTGTCATCGTCACTGTCTGGCTCAGCAGGCCCAGGCCGCACAGGGGAAGGCCCTGTCAGACGCCCAGAGGCCCCTCGCACCACGTTGTTGCGCTGGTTGGCAGGCTTGACAGTGACAATGAGGTTGTGGCTGTTGGCAACCATCATGTCCGTCACTTGGTCCAAGGTCTTCCCAGCCACCTCAATGCCATTGACCTCGAGGATCTCATCGCTGACCGCCAGCAGCCCTGTACTCTCAGCCAGGCCCCCACGTACCAGGCGTGAGATGAAGATGCCCGGAACCCGCTCCAGGCCCTGGGGTGCCACACGCATGCTCATGCCATCTCTGATGTAGAAGCCCAGGGGCCGGTCGGAGCCGTGCTTGTGCAGCCGCACCCGCCGGTGCGTCTCAGGCAGTAGGTCCACATCTATGACTGAGGAGACCTGGCGGAAGTCTCGGGGCAGGCTGATTAGCAGGGGAGGCCGGGTGCGCAGGGGTGCCGCGGGCCGCAGCAGGAGCCCTTTCTTGCGCCGCTGCAGAGAGTTGGAGGCAAAAGCTAGGCCAGTGGAGTCAGCTTCTGCTACAGGAGAGAGGGGGGTGCCGAGATCAGAGACCCTGCCCTCCCACATGGGCGCCTCACAGAGGGAACAGTAGCTATTTCCTACCACTTGGAGGTCAGGCCAAGGGCAGGGACTGCAGAGGGTGAAGCCTGGGCACCCTGACTCGGGACTAACCCTTACAGACCTGCTGTCAGCGTAACCCAGAGGCTGCCCACGGTACCCCATCTTCCTCACCCCGCTTCTGCACCAGCAGGCGCAGTGGCGGGGGCCCACTGGCCAGGGCCCGGTGCAGGCTGTCGTCGTTGGTGAGGGGGAGCAGGTCACCGTGAGCATCCGTGTAGCCAAGCAGCACGTCCAGCCCCGGGATCTGGTGCACTGCACGCAGCAACCGCGAGAACTCCTGGAAGCCGCTCACGGAAGCGCGGGGCAGCGCGAAGCGTCGGAACTCGGCATCAAACTGAAGAGCGGGGGTGGGGAGAGAGGAGGGATCAGGACGGAGCCCGCGCCCCCTTCTCACCACAGGTCAGGCTGGCAAGGATGAGAAAGAGAGGGCTGTCGCCTGACGTCCCGATCTCGGCTCCACTTGGAGGGACGCTGTCCAAGGTCTTTTCTCCCCCTCTCGCCAGGTACCCAGGCCACAGAGGGGCTCCGGAGCCCGGCAGTGGGAGGAAGGGGGGTGGATGGGGAAAGGAGAGCAAAACGGCAGAAGGGGCACAGAGGATGAAGGAGAGGAAGAGGTGATGGAGACCAAGGAGCCGGGAAGGGGAGAGAGGGAATCGGGAGCGCCTAGGGTCAAGGCCGGAGCCGGGACCAGAGGAGCCCTTACTTTGCTCTTCACCTCGACGATGCTGTCGGGACTGCGCGCCGGAGTCCTCTGCGGCCTGGCCATGGCGGGGCCGGGCGGGCCGGCGACGCTGCCCCCGGCGGCCCGCCGCGGCGCAGGTGCACAGCCCGGCCGGCCCGCCCGCGCCGCCCCGCCCTCCCATCCGGACCATGACGTCAAGTGGGCAGCGACTAAGAGCGGAACGCGGACTCCACGTTTCCTAGGAAACGGGGACGGGGGTGGAGAAGTCTTCCTCTGCTCTTACGTCATTACGTTATGGTCCGGGCGGCCGGGGCGTGGGAGGGAATCGGGCTCCGCCAATCCGAGGTGAGAGTGAGGGAAGTGACACTGATTGAGCGCCGTCTGTGTACTGTTTCCACTGTCCTCACAAGACTGCGCATTTTGTAGATGAGGAAACTTGTTGAATCCCTCGAAATTACACGGCCAACTCCCTCGGCCGCAACCTTCGGCCCCAGCTCCCGCTCCGTCTGGGCCAGCCCTTGGCCCCCTCCTTCCCGGTACTTCGGAAATCTGACGAACGGCCCAAACGCCAGGTCGCTGCTCTGAGAGATGCAGCGGTAACAGTAAGCGAGCCAGCATGGGGTCGACCAAGCCGGACTACTGGGTCTCGACCGGGACGCCCCCGTGCGCATGCGCGGGGGGGCATGGGCGGAGCCTCGACCTTAGGACCCGCCCAATCACACGCGCTTCCTCTTCCGTCGGGAGGCAGGGCCGCGGCGGCAGCGGGAAAGCTGGTCCTTCGCTGCCCAGCGAGCTGAGCCTGCGGGAATGGCAGGCTCGGGGAGCCTGGTCCTGAGGCCATGGATTCGAGAGCTGATCCTGGGGTCAGAGTTACTCTCAAGTCCACGGGCCGGGCAGCTGCTGAAGGTGAGCCCCTGCTGAGGGCCTGGAGGGCGATGCGGGGGCCAGGGATGGTGGGATTGATGCCGGTGGGCGCCGTTAGGTACTGCAGGACGCCGAGGCCCCGGGCCCATCCCGCGCCCCTAACGTGTCTGACGTCGAGACTACGCTGCTTGTGTCCGACGGGACCCACAGTGTCCGATGCCTGGTGACGCGGGAGGCCCTGGATACCTCGGACTGGTGAGAGGGGCGCCGGAACCCAGCTGGAGAGCGCGAGATTATGAGCCCCAGGTGGGTGGGTCCTGGAGCGGAGGGGCGAGGCTCGTGTCCCGGCGGGCTGGGCAGTGAGGGTGACGCTTGCCGTAGGGAAGAGAAGGAATTCGGATTCCGCGGAGCCGAGGGCCGGCTGCTGCTGCTACGGAACTGCAGGGTCTGCATCCAGGTCTCGGAGGGCGGCACGGTGAGTAGTAAGGCTGCCTCGGACGGGTCACTGCCCGTGCTCTTCTTCACAACTCCTGAGACTCATCCCTGAACTCACTCCTCCAGCCTGCAGAGTTTTACCTCCAAGTGAACCGCTTCAGCCTGCTGCCCACAGAGCAGCCCCGGGTGTGGGTGATGGATTGGTAAGTAATGCCTCCACCCCCCACCTGCTGTGCCGTCTGTGCCTGGCCGGCCTTGCCATAGGCCTTTTGGGTGGGAGGGTTTGGGCCCCCAGTAACAACGACTGCTTATCACCCTCTTTTTCCAGCCACCAGGACTTAGATGTGCAGAAAAAGCTCTGTGACTGCCTTGAGTGAGTCTGGGATTGGATTTGGGGTAAAGTGTGGTCCAGTTAGGGGATGACAGATGTGGGCAGACGGGTCTCAGGATTGCTCCTGAGGCCTGTCCACTCTGCTCCTTTAGGGACCACCTTTCAGAGTGTACCTCTTCCAACACAGGTACTAGTAGGGGTTTCCCGGTGATCCTAGCTCCCTTTGGAGTTACTTCTCCAGCCGTCACCTCCTGCTTCCTCAGTAAGCCCCTCCCCGCCCAACCCAGCGTTCCTTCCCTCTGAGCCCACCACTGCCCCCAGGCCTATCCCTGTCTCAGCTTTTGGATGAGGTGCAGGAGGACCAGGAGCATCGGGGAGCGCTCGTTCGGCTGGCCGAGAGCTGCCTGGTGCTGGCAGGCCCTTGTGCAGCGCCCACTCTCACCCGCTGGGCTGCCTCACGCTGTAGGGCCCTGGTCAGTCTGGGGTCTCCCTTGGGGAGGGGTCATGGGGTGAGCAGCTGGGGCAGGGCCAGGCTGAGAATTGACATCCTACAGGAGGAAACCGTGTACACTGTCCCCAGCCTGTTGCTGCACATCCCCGAGAACGAGCAGCAAGTTCTGAGCTCTCTGGGCCCAGGCCACAGGCCGCAAGGTAAGAACTGGGGCCCAGAGCCACAGTGCTAATGAGCTTCCCCTGAACTCCCAGACCCTGCTCCCCTCCCCTCCCTCAGCAGAGGCAGTGCTCAGGCACACAGCCTCACTGCTGCTTATCGGGCTCCGGGGCTGTGCGGAACGCTGTGGAGGGGTGCAGGATGGGATGGGTGGGATGAACTTGCTCCCTGCAGGCCTGCTGGTCCTCACAGCCTCTCAGCTGATGCGAGTGGAGAGGGCTGGGCCTACAGCCATTCCCTACCTTCCCAGGGACACCTGCGTTACCCAAGCACGTGCCATCACACGAAGGTGATACCAGCACCAGTCTTCAGCCTGCCCTGCCCTTGGCTACTCCAGACCCAGTGCAGGACAACAGCCAGCCCCTGCCAGCCCACTGCTCAGCTGCCAGTCCCACACTTCTTCCCAGCTCCCCACAGTCCAGCCAGGCAGGCAGTTCCTCACTCCTGACCTGTACTCCCAGTCTCTCACCCCTTAGTCATGTCCCCCTTCAACACCAGGCCCCTGTGACCAGGTCCCAGAAACCTAGCCTGGAGTTCAAGGAGCTAGGTCTGTCCACCAAGAACCAACAGCAAGAACCAAGGAGCAGATCCACGGAGGGGACCCAGGAGTCCACTGTGTGGGTGAGCACACCCTCTACAGCTGACGAGTGGGGAGAGCCTTGCACACACTGGGGGTAGGGAAAGGTGTGGGGGTGGGAGAGCCTTGCACAGGTTGGGGATCTTTGTGGGGTCCTCCTCAGACACCATCCCCCTTTCAGGCTCCTCCAACAAGGCATCGTGATGGTTCTACCTTCCAATATAAGTACCAGCCACCCTGCTCCTCCCTCTGTGCCCAGGTCCAAGCCACCAGGTGAGTGCCCAGGCCTGCCTCAATCCTCACGGGCACCTGTTCCGGGCTGCCTGGACCTACAGCCACGGTTTCTTTCCAGGCTCCCTCCCCAGCTCATGGCCTGGGCCTTGCACTTTCTGACGGAGCCCCAGCTGGAGTCCGAAGTAACCCAGGTGTGAGGGGGTCCTGCAGGCAGCCTGGGGGTGAACACAAAGTGTCCCACACTCTGCTTCCTTTGCGTTTTTTAATAAAATAATCTCATGCGGCAGGAGAGGAGGGGATTAGGGATTGGGGCCGCCGCCTCTTTGGTCTGTGGCTGGGGAGGGTGGGCTCCGCTCAGGGCTGGAGGAGGGCTCCGGGGGCAGAGGCTCCGCTCTAAGACCGGATCCTGTGAGGGAAGAGGGGGAGAAGAAAGGTCAGCGTTGCTCTGCGCCGTCTGCCACCCTTCCCAGTCCTCTTACCTAGGCTTGGGGAGGGGGGTGCCTCCAGCTTGGGCCTGCGCTTGAGGACAGGGGAGCGCTGCAGCCGCAGGGGCCGTTCTGAGGGACACGGAAAGGCTCAGGGTAAGTCGGTGTGGACTTGCTGTCCATCCGGTCTCAAGCCCTCCACCTCCAGTGCACGCGCCCACCCATCCTGGGCACGCTCGCTGTTCAGGAGGTGGAGCCAGCACTCGCAGGGTTGGTCCGACCCTTGACCCTGGCCTGGGGCTCCTTTCAAGCACCTGAGCCTCCCTCCCACCCGACCCGTCTCCTCCTGCACTCAGACACACACGGAGGTGCCCCCTCACCAGCAGGGGCCTGCAGCTGGTCCTCATGCACAGACACTGCTCGCCGCCCTGCCGACAGAGGCCGCGGCCTCAGCTGGCCATCTGGGGGAGGCCGGGGGTCAGGGTGCGGTCCCAACAGCTGCCCCACTCCAGCCTTCTGCCTCCCACCTTCATTCAGTCCCCAACCCAGGGTTAGAGTGGAGGGTAGGGTGCCAGCTTACCTTCCTTCCTGGGGCCCACGCAGGGGTCCTCCGGTAGACCGAGGCTGTCAGGAGAGGGGCTGGCTCTGCGGGGACTTAGGCTGGGACAAGGGGAGGGGGGGCCTGGACCATCCTGTTGGCCCCAGCCCCGGCCCCTGAGTTCTGCATTCAGTTGCTGCCCCAGTGTCTTCCAGGTGGCAGGTTCAGGCCCCTGGCCCCCTGGGCTGGGTCTGCACGAGGGGTCTGCAGAAAGAGGGGTGTAAGCAGGAGTCCGACGTCCTCCTGCCTGTCCTTCACCATCCCCAACATACACAGTGGCGCTCACTCACCAGCAGATACAGAGTGGGTGCGGGACTTGATGGAGATGGGTGGGGCTTCTGTGGAACTGTCCATAATGTCACCTGCAAGGCAGGGCTGGGAACTCAGGCACCAGACCTTTGGGGTAAAGGGAAGAAAAACCTGGCCTCTTCCCCTCCTCCCCCAGGAAAGCAGCTGCCTTGGGGACTATCTGTAAGGACACCCACCTCCCCATCAATGTGCTGTCCTACCCCAAGGTCCCACTCACCATCTGAGCCGGCCTTCTTGATCTCACCGTCTTTGCTCTGTAGGAGACAGAAGAATCAAACCCCAGCCCTGCTCTCCCAAACCCTTGTTCTTTTAGGAATTTTAAAAACATCTACTTGAGAGAATTCCCATCAACTGGTTCACTCCCAAATGCCTACAATGACTGGGGCTGGGCCAGGCCAAAGCCAGAAAGTCAATCCAGGTCTCGTGTGAGTGGCAGGACTACTTGAGCCAGCACCTGCTGCCTCCCAGGTGTGCATTAGTGAGAACCTGGGTCTGGGACTCAAACCCAAGCATTCCAATACTAGGGTGTGGTGTCCTAACTGGTAGCTTAACCACGGGACCAAATGCTGCCCCTTTTCTTGTCCTCATAATCCAGCCACAGAATGTCCACCATGGGGTGCACAAGGCTATGGCAAACGCAGTCTCAAGCCTGTTGGGAGCTCAGGCTGGGTGCACATTCAAAGATGTGGATAATGCGGTCTCTGACATGCCGGATGCACTTCCCACACTTCAGTGTTTCTGAATTGAGGCCAAGTCTTGCTTCATGTTTTTCCTGAAAGCTATTAAACTGGTAGTACATAGGACTTTTGTCACTAATGAGAACTACATCAGTGACACTAGCAGGGTGGCCAAGGACGGGAGTCAGAACCAGCCCCCAGAGAGCTGCAGGAGTGGCTAAGGCGGTGCCTGGCGTAATGCAGGTGGCAGTGAGCCTGGATGGAGGAAGGGGAGGAGGCTCTGACAGCGGTGAGGTCTGGGAGGCAGCGAAGCAAGGTTAGGAGCTTGGACGGTGTGTTGAGAGGAAGCCCTGAGGGACAGGCTGTTTCAAGCACAGGTGGCAAGGTCAGGGCCATCTGCAGAGAAAGGACTTCCTGGGTCCAAGAAGGAGATACCAGGGCACACACCAAAAGGAAACACAGTTTCATGACCTTTGAGTGGGGAGGGGAGAGAATGAGCTGGCTTAATCAGACCTATCTCTGCCATGAGTCTCCTCCCACCTGGTCACATATGTCACACTCAGACTGCCACATGCCCCCTCAACTCACTTGCTTTCTCTTGCCTTCCACACCCCCACTGCCTCGGCTTACGCCGATCCTCTGTAGCATCACTTGTACCCGCTGTTCAAAGGATGGGGCCAGCTCTGTGTCTCCCCGCTCCAGGGGCCGCCTCTGGGAACAGAGATGCCTGCATCAGCAGAGAGCCCACTGCTCTCAGTTCTAGAAGGAACCTCCCTCAGCCCCAGGCCTCACCTTGTCTGGTCTGGCACCCAGGGTCGCCGCCTCTTCCTCCTCTGCAGGCAGTAGGATCATCGAGTAGGCCTTGCTGTCCCTTGTGTATCGAGGCCGGCTCCTGCGGGCAGGGTCAGGGCTGCTGGTGCCCCCCTCGGCCCCACCAGGCTCCTCGCCACGGGCAGGACGGGCTGGAGGCCGCAGTAAGTCCCCAAGTGTGGTTTTTCGGGCGCGAGGAGCTGCCCCAGGGCTGGTCTCTGGATCAGGCCGTGGACCCCGTGTTGAACGAGGCTTCTTGAAGGCAAAAAGGGTCCCCAGCTTCTTTCTCAGTGTTCGGGGAACAGGAGTGGCACCCCCCTCAGTGGCCGAGTCATCCTCCGGGGCCCAGCTGTGGGGACAACCGGCAGTGAGTGGGAAAGCCCGTGGGCCCCCCCCACCCCCCCACCCCCCGCAGCTGCCCCTCACTCACAGGCGATCCTGCGGGATCAACCTTTTGGAGAAGAATTCCTCCACGCCCTCGTCCACGCGGGCACTGAGCCCATTGCCTTCCTGCGGCAGGGCTGGGGGCACCTGGGGGACACCACAGGGTCAGGACTGAACACAGCTGGCTTCTTTTCCTGCCCCCACCTGTCCATCAGCCGGGCCTGGGTAGGTCCAGACTCTGGACCTTCCAGCTGTCCAGTTCCTGGCCCCCAACCCTCTTGTCCCAGGCTGTATTCTGTGCCCCCTAAGCCACCTGGTCACCGGCAGGCTGGCACCCACGCGCCCCCCGGGTCACACTTTCCCACTTGCCACCTCCTCTGCTCCAAACAGTTCCCTGCAGTACCCCTGCCCCCACCCCACCCGGCCTGCTGCCTGCTCAGAGATGCCGGCTGCTGCGTCAGACCCTCTGGGGGGCCTCAAGCCAGCTCCTCCCTTCCTCCACCTTCGGGAAGTGCCTACTGCCCTCGCCGGTACCCAGCCCACACACATCTCTCCACACATACACCGCTGGACGTGCAGCAGACGGGGACTGTCTCGGAGCCCCGCTCCCCAACACCTTTCAGTAACCCTGGGAGAGGGAGGGCAAGACAGACACCCTCTCGCGCACACCCAGCGATGCCGCGGGCCACCCTGAGGGGGAGCCCTGCACCGAGGCCGAGCCCGAGTGCAACCCGCGCATCCATGACCCTGCATGGGCATGGCCTGGGGTAGGGGGTGGCCAGGAAGAAGCCAGGACACAATCGCAGTGGCAAACACAACCAAGGCGGCTTGGGTCCCCACAACCCACCTCCCTGCCCGCCATCACTCGTAAGGAGGGACAGGGCCACCCATGACCCCCGATTCCGCGAGCGCTGGGGAGGGGGAAGGGCGCTCACCTGGGGGCCCCCCGGCGGCGGGCGGTGGTGGTGCTGCCGGCGCGGACGTGGCCGGGCCCGGGTCGGATGGCGCAGGGGCTGCCCGGAGGGTGGCAGGTCCATGCGCGGCAGCGGGCCGGCCGAGGGCCCGGGGGTGGCGGGACTTGGAGAGCCGCGCGCGGACGGCCCCGCCTGTGGCTCCGCATCTTCCCCCGGAGCCGCCAGCTCGGGCTCCGGCTTCGCTTCCTCAGCAGGACCTGAGGGGAGAGCACCAGAACAGCACCGAGCGCCGAACCCGAGGAGGTGGTGGCGGAGGCGCTAGGGCGGCGGGGGACCCGCCCAGGGCGCGGGGAGGGGCCCGGCTGTACCGCCCGCCCCCCCACCCGCCCCTCCCCCGCTGCCGCTGTCCGTGGTGCTGAGCGCGGCCCCGAGCGCGCGGCTCCGCATCGCAGCCAAGCATGCGCGTCCTGGGGGCAGGGAGAGGGGCGGGGGAGGGGGCAGCGAGCTGAGCTGGGAACCTGGTGCTGGTCCGCTCAGGTCCCATTCTATACTGACCACAGCAGACCTCAGCTTTGCACGGGGTGGAGAGCACCAGGAACAGGGCTGTGTCTGGACCGGAATGTGTCTGGTGTCCAGGTCTAACGGAGCTTCCGCCCACCTAGGCAGCAGACCCCCTGCCCTCAAGAACCTAACTCACTGTGAGTGGAGGAGAGCAGCTGAGGACAGTGGCTGGGCTCAGGCCATTTTGGTGGATTACTGACATCCTGGTGGGGTGGGCAAAACTCAGCAAAGGGTGGGAAAGCACAACCCTGGAAGACCCCTCTCCCACCCTCCACACTCCAGAGTAAGGTGGGAAGATAGGGAGTTGTAAGCCCAGTGTTCTGGGGCCACTTACCTTCTCTTTCCCCTCCTCTTCCTCCTCCTCCTCTTCAGGGAAGAAAAGACCGTCCACTTCCCCAGGCCCAAGGGGGCTGGGCTCATCTCCATCCAGTGCCGGCAGCGCAGGGGGCATCACCACAGGTGCCTTCAGAGCCAGACTCTCCATCTGCAATACCAAACAGTCCAGAGACGGGCAGGTGGGGCCTCAGCCATGACTATCAATGCTAAGCCACAATCCTGAAATAGCCCTGGTCTACATGACCCCAGAAGGTCCATACAAGGTTGATGGCCATGTCGCCGTGTGTGTACGCGCGTGTGCATGGAAACATGTGCACAGCACTCCTTACCAGCCGATCCCTGGCAGCACTCAGATCTGCCACAGCCTGAGCCACAATGCTCTCTGCCAAGGTCCTTGTGACTGACAGCCGCATGTCCCTGATGGCAGCAAAGGGCAGACATCAGCGTGCTGGCCCTGCCCGGCGCTGCCCAGCGCTGCCCAGCCCAGCCCATCCCGCCTACCTGAGCCTACTGAAGGCATCTTGCAGCAGCTGCTCTGGAAGCAGCTCTGGGAGGCCCCTGGAACCCACCAGGATTCCTTCTAGCTGCTCCTTCCAGCCTGGTCCCTGTAGCATCTGCAGGCAGAGGCTCCTTGTTGTGTCCAGTGTGGCCTGAGTGAAATCCTGAGCCACAGATCAGAGCATGGTGAGTGTCCAAGCCCCAGACCACTTGGCTTAAGGCTCCAGCCCCCACAGCACGTTGACTCAGGGGATCACGGTCAAGCCTGCACGCAGAAGTGGGCCCGGCAGCACGGAATCCCACCTCACCTGGATGTCCTGGCGGCAGACCTCGCCCACCTGTCCCAGAAGGCCCTCCAGCTTTTGTTGCAGCTGCCAGTGGTGGCCTGGGGAGCTCCCAGCCTCATAGAGGATGGGGAGGATCTGGGGGGGGGGGCAAGGAGGAACAGCAGTTGCCAGTTGCTGCCTGCGAGGAGGGGACAGGTCTCGAGTGGAGGGGGTGCTCACACTGAGAGAGAAGTTGGCATTTTGAATGGCGTCCTCAGCCTGGTGGACAGCAGCTTCGCCCTGCGGCCCGGCCCCACAGCCTAGGAGCTCCACATGTTCCTGCACTGACTGACACAGTTCATTCACTTCCTGGGGGGGCAGGAGGAGTCAAGGTCAGTCCCAGCCCAGTCCCCTCCCACTCTCCCAGACCCTTCCGGCCTTTCTCCCAGGGTCCTGAGGTCACACAGACAACCCAGTCACTAAGCAGCCCTCGTCTGTTCACAGAGGAAGAGCAGTGTTTTTCTCAGGTTCATTTTAGTGAATTCTCCTAACAGGCAAGGAGGGAGTGGAGCTGTTAGGTCTGTGTTTTAGAAGCTCTTACATAGAGCACAAACTCAGATGTGTGTGGGGGGGGCAGCAGTGAGGAGACACAGAACTGGACGACGGGAAGTAGGGTGACACATTTGCGTGTGTCCAGAGACAGGACCAAGGAGGACTGGGAGGGCTCCAGTGAGGTGGCATCTAACAGCCCCACCTCCGTCACAGCGCTTGGTAACTGGACACCAGCGCTGATTGGGCTGCAGTGTCAGGAATGGGGCTTCTGGAACATGATGCAGTCACTGGAAAGTGTGTAGAGCATGAAGCCCCTGCGGCCCACCTGGAGCAAGATGCCTGGACTCTGCAGGGCCAGCACTGCGAGGCAGGTGAAACCGCGGCTTGCAACAACCGACGTCCCATATCGGAGCATCGGCTCAAGCCACAGCTGCTCCACTTTCTAATGTAGCTCCCTGACAAGGCACACCTTGGGAAGGCAGCGGGCCCTAGCCCAGGTACCTGGGGAGGCAACTAGCGAATGCAAGAGCTCTCCTCTCCCTTTTCCCTAACCCTTTCCAATAAATACGTCAATCTTAAAAAACTTGGCTTAAATTAAAAAAAAAAAAAAAAAAAAAGCGTATGGGCTCTGACACCTAAGAGGAAAGTGAGGTTTGAGAATGGAGAGGCAGGAACATCTTGGAAAACGCGAGTGGTTGGAGAGAGATGAAGTCAGAGGAGATTCTGGGTTTGACTTTACAGAGGTCAGCGCACTGCGGAGGGGCCACAGGGAAACTTCAAGTCCCTTCTGCCTTTAAAAGAGATCCTGTGTGTACGCTTCAAGGAGCCAGGGTGCTCCTCGGGAGCTATTTTAGGAGCAGGGGGGCTGTCTCCAGGCCAAGGAGAGGAACCTGTCTGGAAAGCAGGACGCAGGCCCCTGCCCCGGGAAAGTCAACCCCTCAGGACCCTGGATCCCTCTACCCACGACCTCCCACCTCCTGTAGGTACTCAAGGTTGGGGGAGGGAACAATGACCTGCTCCGAGGGGAGAGAGACCAGACCCAGTGGCTGACGACGGGACACACGGTCAAAAGAGGTGAGGTCCCTGCGGCTGTTCCTCAAGAGACAGGCTTGTATCTGCAGGCAAGGGCTTTTGAGAAACGGCGCGGGGAGGGGCGGAGCCACGGCGCCACGCGCGGCGGGGAAGCCGACCCCACCTGCTGCACTGCACGTGCCGTCAGTTCCGGGCGGCTGCGCTGCGCCTGGGCCACGTCATTTAGCGGCAGGGGCATGTCCTTCAGGCTGTGGTTCTGCTCCAGGGCCTGCGCCACATCCAGCAGGCCCAGAGCAGACGTGTGGTTCCGGTCCCAGACCACAGACCTGGGTCCAGCAGGGCTTCAGTTCCGGACGGAGCCCGGCAAGCACCCACGCAACCCGCGGGCCTCGTCTATCAGCCTTGCCCACTAGCTGCTCCATTAGCCCCGCCCCTCCACGCCACGCCCTCCACGCATTGGCTCCACCCTCCGACCCCGCCCACCGGAGCCTGGTGTTGACCCGCAGCGCCTTGGCCAGCATCTTGGCCCCCGCGTCCCCCATGGCGTTGCCGCTGATATCCAGCGCTGTCAGGTTAGGATTGGTGCCCAGCGCCCGGAGCAGCACGCTGACGCCCAGCTTCAGCCGCGACTCGGCCACAGACAGAGACTGCAGAGGCTGGAGTTAAGAGAAAGCCGCTGACGGATGGAGTCAGGGCTCAGGGTGGAGGGCAGACCACAGGTGTGGATCAGAAGGGATCTGCTGCCTGGGGACCCCACAAGGGCCCCGGAACTCACACAGTCGTCGTCTTGCATGAGCTGTACAATCCGGTGCAGGACATCGTCCAGGGTCTCCCTGTGGGCGGGGGCTGCGGTTGGAGGGGGTGGCGGGAGCGCCGGCTGGGAGTCCCAGGTGTGGGGTGGGGGCTCACTTGCACCGGACGTTGAAGTTCCTTCCAAGCGCCACGTGTCTCAGGGACCGACTCCTTCCGATGGCTAGCACCAGGGTCACCATGTCTGAGCCGAAGCCTGGGTCACGGCGGCTTGGGTCAGGCAAAATGGAGGCTTTGGAGTGGGGTGGGAATTGGGAATGGGGTGGGGGGAATGATGGGAGGATGGGTTCCCGGGCGGTCTAACCGTTATCTGCCAGGTCCAAGGAGCTCACGGCGCACGCGTCGCACACTAAGTCTTGTATCACTTGGGCGCCCGCGGAGCGCAGCTGGAGGCGGAGTGTGGGGAGCGCTCAGAGCACCCTTCCTCGGGTTGGGGCGCGGGGAGGCGGCCGATGGCTCGTTTCCCTTGCCTCCTAGCCCACTCTCATGTGCCGCCTCCGCGAGCCCACATCTCCGGGGCGGGGCACTCACCTCGCACGCGCTGAGATCCAGGTGCAGGTCGCGGAGGTGCGTGTTGAGAGCCAGGCCATCCCAAAGTGCCCTGGGAGGGGATGTCACAGAGGGAGCTGGGCAAGGGGGCCGGCCCTAGGGTGTGGGCACACAGCAAGAAAGCAGGGCCAAGATGCGGGGGTGGGGTGGGGCAGCAATCCTGACCTGAGCGCGTCGGGCGGCAGCTTGCAGCCGGCCAGGCCCAGGTGCCGCAGCGTCCCCGCGCGGCTGAGGAAGAGCTGCAGCGAGGCCGGCACGGCCCGGGCCTTCCTGGGGGTGGGGGAGCGGGAGTCGTGGGCTTCGGGGCGCAGGGAGGAGCCCGGCAGCCTCCCCTCGCCGCGCCCCGGCCCTCTTACGCGCGGGAGAAGACATTCCTGGAGGCGTCGAGGTGGGTGAGGGTGGCGCAACAGCCGCGGGACAGCGCCGCGAAGAGCTGCGGGAGGAGGACGTTGGTGGCACCGCCCCGTGGACCCGAGCCCTCCCCGCCCCTTCGAGCACGCCCCGCTGATCACCCCCTCACAGTGTCCAGGGCAGTGTCCGTGCCTGCGACATTCAGGAAGGCCAGAACGTTGGGGCGGCTCAGGAAAGTGTAGAGGCCCTGCTGGGAAGCTGGGGTGAGGGGGAGTCACCAGTGCTTGCGCAGGACACCCCAGTCTCTGACCCTGAGAACACTCACCCCACTGTCCTCGGAGGCCCCCAGCGCCCCGGGGTTTCCAGAAAGATCCAGATGGGTCAGGGCAGAGTCGAAGGCAGCATTGGTGGCCAGTGCCCGGCCCAGAGCCCTCATTCCTGGTGGTGGTGGAGGGCGTGGCTGACTGCCGATGCCCCGGATTCGCTGTGCCGCCACCCCTCACACAGCACCCGCACCCGCACCCTCTGCTGGGCCCACCTCTTGGAGTCAGCCCTGTCTGTGCTAGGCTGAGTCTCCTCAGGGCTCCCGGCCGGCGCTCCAGGTGTCTGCTGAGCGCAGCTATACCTGGGGGAGGGGCGCCCGTGTGAGTGTCACCGCCTCCAGCCACCTGCTGCCCGGTCCCCCAGGCTCAGCCCTACCTCTGTCATCCAGCAGGTTCCCGGCCAGGCTGAGCTTCCGCAGCCCGGAGTTGGAGTGCCCTGCCAGCGCCTGGGCCAGCCGCCGGACAAAGTCTCTGGTGAGCAGAATGCAGGCGTGAGACGGGGGTCCCTCTCCTGGCCACCAGCCCCCAAGCCCTGCCCTGCCCTGTGCTCACCCCCTCAGGCCACAGGTCTCCAGCACCAGCTCCTCCAGGTGGGACGACTGACTCATCATATGCAGAATCTGTTCCGAGACCTCAAGGCTCTGAGGACCAGAGCGGGTGTGGCTCAGGGTGCTGCACCCTCATCCCGCACCCTGGGCCGCTGCCGGCCCCTCCCTCCTCACCAGCTTCATGTCCACGCAGGACAGCCGTTGGAACCACAGGTTGTAGGACAGGGCAGCCACACTCAAGGCCAGGTCCCTGGGTGGGGAGAAGGGACAGGGGCAGAGCTCAGCGTCTTCCCGCCAGGTCCAGGAACGGCGGTACTGGAACCTTCTTCCCGCCGCGCCGCTGGCAGGCCACGCACCGACTGCCAAGGTGGCTGAAGTCTCCTAGGCTGAAATGGCGACAGCCCTGGCGGTGGTAGATGGTGTCCACATCCTGGTTGAGAGGAAAGTGTGGACATCAGGCCTGGGGCCACCAGGGGTTGGGAGGGGCTCAGCGCACGTGGGTGGCCAGATGTCTCCTAGTGCCCCCTCCCTCGCAGAGCGGGCCCTGCCCTCACCCACTGGATCTCCTCTCGGAAAGGGAAGCCGTTGTAGTCACACAGAGCCTCGTAAGTCTCCAAGAAGCCTCCTGCGGAGGTGCCAAGGGCACGGCAGAGGGCGAATGATCAGACCCTGGCTGGGTGGCGGTTGTAAGTGGCTCTGCTCACCTTGGGAGCCCCCCAGCTCTGGGGCCTGGGGGCTGCAGGGGTCTCCTAGGCCCCGCCTGACTCACCGCAGGGGCTACCCTGTGCAGCAGGATCTGCAGGGCTGCTTTGCTCCAGCCGAGCCAGCATGGAGGGGGGCGTGGGCTTCCGGAATAGTTTCCTGAGGGAGGGGTAAAGGAGAAGGGGGCAAGGACTCCCAGCCCTGGGAGGGGGGCGCATCCCCTCTGCTGCCCTCCTCCCTGCCAGCCCCTGCAGCCACCAGGCCTCACCCAAGGGTGGAGCGGGGGAAGACCTTCCTGATGGCCGCGGCCACGTGCTGCGCCAGCTGCTCCAGGGCAGCCACGCCAGCGAACTCGAGGACCAGATCAGGCAGGGACTCCAGCTCAAAGACGACCTGGCAGGGGGCGGGGCGGGGGGAGGGCTGTGGGCCTGGGCTGAGGGCTGGGATGCAGACCAGGCTGCGGGCCCAGGTAGGGCACCAGACGGCTCACCTGAGGGGGTGTCTCCTGCAGGGCCATGGCCTGGACCTCCAGGTAGCTGAACGTGCAGTCCACCTAGGAGGGCCTGGGTCAGCTGAGCCCAAGGCTCAAGCCCACCATCAAGGGAGCCCACAGAGACCAGCCGGCCAGCTGTGCGGAGGCAGTCTAGGGGGCAGGCATGGGAACTCACCCTCAGTGGGAGGCAGGTGTGCAGCAGGTAGGCCCTCCATCGCAGCAGCACCTGGTGGGGAGTTGGGGGGGGGGGGCAGAGCCTGATACTCCAGGCAGGGCAAGAGGCTCTTTGGCGGGTCCCGGCTGCCCTCCTGGGCTCTGCCCCTGGCCCACCATACCAGGACATGACTTGGCTCAGCACCCTCGCCGGGTAGCCAGGTTTTCAGTAGCAGCTCCGCCTCCTTGGGCCACAGGAACCTGGCGATTTCACCTGCGAAAGGCAGCCTGATTGGGTGGCCCTGGTCCTCTCACACCCAGGTATGCAGGGCCGAGGCCTGGGGCTCATCTCTGGATCAGCAAGTTAGGGGTAGGATGATCTGGGGCGGCAGCTCCAGAGGAGCAAAGAGAACCGTTGGCCGATTCCCCTGGGGCATTGGGGAGCCTCTGGTTTAGGGGCCGTCCTCCTTCCTCCCGGCCAAGTGGAAGGGATGGGCCAGCACTTACCTCGCAGCTCACAGGATATGCCGTCGGGGGTCTGGGCCATGGGACCGGGCAGGGCCTGCCCGGGCGGCCCGACCAGCTCTGGCGGGAAACAGTAGCGGGCGGGCGTGCACACAGGAAGCCTGGGGCCCGGGCCCGCACGGCCGCCACCTGCTCCTCCGGCAGCGGAAGGTACGCGCCGCTTCCTGCCAGGCCGCCCCCGGCCCGGCTCCTCCCCGCTCGGGCCTCGCGAGCCAAGACCTCGCCCGAGTACCGGGTTTGAGTGAGTGTCGTGGGGGAGCGAGTCCTGGCTGCCGGGCCCGTCGCGCAGGAGCTCCTCCGCCACGGTAGACACGGGAGTGGGAATTAGTGTGGCCAACAGGGTCGCACATGTCGCGCGCCTCCTGCGGGTCCTTAGCCTCCTACTTCCACCCCGCGTCGTGGTCCCCGACACAAACACCAGGGGGCGCCGCCCGCCCGGGGATCCCGGCGGCCCACCCCATGCGTCCCCTCCAAAGCCCAGCCTGGGGAGGGGGACCCGCTACAGCAATCCGTTCTCTCCTAACACCCGAGGCTGCTCCAAACCCGGGGTCCGTGGTAGTTCGGGGATCCATGAAGACTGGAAGGTGCGGGGAAAAAAATCGCCATGCGCGCCCGACGCCGCTCCGCGGCAGAGGGTCCTTAGCTTTCATCAGCTTGAGGCTGGGTCAGGGCCAGAGGCGCTGGAGTGTACCAAGGGCTCAGTTAGCCTGGTGTTTACGTGGAGACCTGACCCCAAAGGCCTAGGGTGCGGGCTGCAGTGACTCCAAGGCACTCAGAAGACCACGGCTGCGGGAGGAGCACCTGCCAGCCAGCCCATGCTGCCTCTGAAAGACCAGGCCTCCCACGAAGCCAGGACCTTTTGCGCCTCTTCCATGGCAACCTAATTAAACTCTTAGGAGATGAGTCCTCTACCCGTCAGCGGCTGGGCCTGCGGAGGGGAAGTGGCCCTGAGTAGGGGAGACCAGGAACTCGGAGTGGGCCCTTGGCTTCCATCCATCTCTAGCTCCCCCTCCCCACCCCGGGGCTTGGAGACAGAGGGGGATTGTCACCCTCCTGACACCGCCCCCTTGCCACCATTAGTAGCAACCTGGGATTAGCCTTGTCCACTTAAGCAATAGGCACCCGGTGTGATGGCTCCGGGCTGAAAAGCCGACTCAGGTGGGACCGGGTGCTGCAAACAGAGGCAGAAAGAGAGCCTGTTCCCTCCCAGATGAATTTTGTTGTGTTCCAATTAAGATTCAAGAAATCACAAGTGATTAGGGTGACACCTCAGTAGGTCTCACACATAGTAATGGCTGAGCGGCCAGAAAGCAGAAAGGCAGATTTTTTTTTTTTTTTAAAGATGTTTTTATTTACTTGAGAGAGAGAGAGAGAGAGGTCTTCCATCAGGTGGTTCACTCCCCAAATGGCTGCAACAGCCGTTGCTGGGCCGATCCGAAGCCAGGAGCTTCTTCCGGGTCTCCCACGCAGGTGCAGGGATCCCAGCTCTTGGGCCATCTTCTGTTTTCCCAGGCCACAGCAGAGCGCTGGATCGGAAGCGGAGCAGCAGGGACTCAAAACAGAGCCCATATGGGATGCCAGCGCTGCAGGCGGTTGGCTTAACCTACTACGCCCGCAGCACGGCCCCGAGGGCAGAGCTGTCACACTGAGTCCCTGAGTGTTTTTTTGTAAACCAGAGCTATTAACTCACCCTGAAATGTTCTCAAGATTGAGCGCTTATTAAGTGCTCACTAGTGTCTGGCATTTGATGCACACTCAGATTTGCCAAGTTTGCCATGGCAACCCCAGGACTCCAAACAGTGACAGAAAACCCACCTCACTGGATTTTTCAGTGGAGTGACAAGGAGCAGGGGCCGGTGTTGTGAGTGGGTTAGGCCGCTTGCAATGTTGGCATTGCTTACCAGAGTGCCAGCTCAAGCCCCACTGCCCTGCTTCCAATCCAGCTTCGTGCTGATGTACCGGAAAGGCAGAGGAAGATGGCCCAAGCGCTGGGCCCCTGCCACCCTGGGAAGCCAGGATGGAGTTCCTGGCTTGCGTCCCAGCCCTGTTGCAGGCATTTAGGGAGTGAACTAGAGGATGGAAAAGCTCTTTCTCAGATGCTCTGCCTTTAAAAAAAAAAAAAAAAACACACATCTTACCAAAAAAATAATAACGGCAGGGAGCAAATAATAGAAGGAATGATTGCCAAAGGGCTGGAGCTGCTCAAGAGGAGGGGTGCTGGCAGGGTCAGGATGCACACCGATGTGAGGAGGGGCACGCAGGGCTGTGGTAACGAAACAAACCTCACTGCTACCAGGGACTGGGGGAACGCTCAGTTCCTCCAAGTGACAGTGACTCAGTGACAGGCCTTCAGCTCATCTGAGCCGTCTCTGTGTTCCGGACACCATGCCACTCCGTGGGCGCTCAGGAAATGCTAAAGCTCCCAATGGGGGCAGGCGCTGTGGCGTAGTTGATTTCTTTGCCCAGCATCAGCTATGGTTTAACACTGAAGAAAGAAGCTGCAAACAAGCCCAGAGCTTCCGCTCACGAGCTCCCTGGGCAGAGTAACAGTGGGTGAGACCGGCTGCTGCTGCTGCTGGAGGGTTTGCATTTAATGGAGCCACGTGGGATGTCACAGAGGGGCCTGGCGGATCTCTGTTCAGCTCTAAAGTTATCAAAATGTCACTTCTGCCCCCTTCCTCAGCCAAAACAAACCTGCTTTTAAACTTTCAATTTGCGGGGGGCCACCGTGGCACAGTGGGTAAAGCTGCCGCCTGCAGTGCTGGCATCTCATATGGGTTCCAATTCGAGTCCCAGCTGCTCCACTTACCATCTAGTTCTCTGCTATGGCCTGGGAAAGCAGTGGAAGATGACCCAAGTCCTTGGGCCCCTGCACCCACGTTGGGAGATCTGGAAAAAGCTCCTGGCTTTGAATCAGCTCAGCTCTGGCCATTGCGGCCAACTGGGGAGTGAACCAGCAGATAGAAGACCTCTTTCTTCTCTGTGTAACTCTTTCAAATAAATAAATACATCTTAAAAAAAAAAAAAAAAAAAAGAACCTTTCAATTTGTATACATCAGAAATGGCAAGGTATGTTGAAGACAGGGAAAACTCAGTCTCATGGTTCTATGAAGAAACTGTCTATTATACTTAACAATTTGTAAACTTTAGGTGCCCAATTAAATTTTTTTTTTTTTTTTTAGATTTGAGAGGCAGAGCTAAAGAGGGAGAGACAGAAAGGTCTTCCATCCACTGGTTCATTCCCCAAATGATTGCAACTGCCAGAGTTGGGCCAATCCAAAGCCAGGAGCCAGGAGCTTCTTCTGGGTCTTCCAAGTGGATGCAGGCAGGGGCCCAAGCACTTGCGCCATCTTCTACAACTTTCCAAGGCAATAGCAGAGAGCTGGATGGGAAGTGGAGCAGCTGGGACATGAACCGGCACCCATATGGGATGCTGGTGCTGCAGGCAGAGGCTTAGCCTGCTACACCAGAGCCAGCCCCTAATTTTTTAAAAAAGCTTTATTTATTTATTTGAAAGGCAGAGCTACAGAGTGAGATCTTCCATCTCCTGGTTCACTCTCCACCCACTTGCTGGCGTCACAAGCAATGACTTAACCCACACCACCACAACACCAGGATGTTTAGAGTCCTGACAGGTAGGCTAGTCCAGGGGTTGGGATGGAGACCTCATGCTGTGACCACTGACATTCAGTCCAATGAGCTGGCTGCTGGGCTGCGTTTTGAAGTCTAGGGAGGCTATGATTTAGGTTTCCCTGGGAGACCTGACGGCATAGGCAGTGTAAGCCAGATGAAAGCTACATACATCTGGGGCCGGTGCTGTCGCACAGCAGGTTAAATTGCCACCTGACACCAGCACCCCGTATGAGTGCCAGCTCATGTCCTGGGCTCCATGGCTTTCTGATCCAGCTCCCTGCTAATGTGCACTGGAAGAAAGTACTTGGGCCCCTGCCACCCACGCGGGAGACCCCGATGAAACTCCTCGCTCCTTGCTACAGCCTGGGCCAGGCCCGGCTCTTGTGGACATTTGGGAAGTGAACCAGTGAATGGGAAGATCTGTCTCTCAAATCTAAACTCTGCCTTCCAAGGAAGTCTTAAAAAAACAAACAAAAAAACACTAGAAAGTGGATTTCTGGTTAAAAACCTCTACAATTAGGGGCAGTCATTTGGTGCTGTGTTAACACACCGCTTGGGATGCCCGCGTCCAACACTCAAGTGCTGGGGCTGCAGCCACGTGCACCTTGAGACAGCAGATGATGGCCCAAGTAGCTGGGTCTCTGACATTCACATGGGAGACCTGGTTAGTTCCCAGGGCCTGGCTTCAGCCTGGTCCAACCCCGGCCAGCTGTTGTGGGCATCTGGGTTATGGATGGGATATGGATGGCATCTGGGATATGGTTATTGGATGAAGATCTGTTTCTGCCTTTCGAGTAAATAGTAAGAATTTAAGAAAACCCAACACTGCCAAAGTGATCCATCTGGAAACAGCCAGCAGCTACACGATGCCTTCAAGCTGAAGCCTGAGCTTCCTAACACGACCCAAGTCCCCGTCCATCATTGTGGCGCTGACCAGTAGCCCCTGTACAATCCTGGTGTCTCCCGCTTCAAATGGACTTCTGGCAGGTTGGGCCCAGCTTCTCCTGTTCCCCTGTACCTGGCTAAGCCCCAGGTAGTGGTCCCAGCCTCCCTGAGCCAAGATCCTAAGACAGGGCTTCCCATCAACTACAACTCCACAGCTCTGTGCAGCGGGCACCCGCTCCTCGGGCGGACCACGGAGGCCGGCCACTGCCCATCCACTTGATGCTCTCCTCACACCCATTTTTGCGGAGTTAAATGTGCAGCAGGATGCACTCACAATCCTGACATCCTCCAAGATAAGATCCTCTCCTTCTGCCCGAGAGGAAGCACTATCCCAGGAACACAGCCTGCCTCTAAGATGCGGAGGCCGGCACGGCCTGGAGCTCTGCGCCAGCCCCTCGGGGGGCCAGCAGGCAGGAATCACACAAGACAAGAGTCCTCGGAGCACTTGTTAATCCGTTATGATTTATTAGCTGTACAGCAGTAGATCCTCCTCCCCAGCTTTCAACCCCATTACATATTTTATTACAGGTCTCGTGTTGGCATCCTAAAATAATGAAAAATATCACACAGTACAGCTAAGTACAAAATGCATCAACCTAGAGTCTGATAGCTAACTGATGGCTCTCTTAAAAAGCAATACACAGAAGAAAAAAAGTGTTTGAAATCAGCAAGACTGAGGCTCTCTAAAAAACACATTTTCAACGTGTGACAGTTCATGTGCAACAATCATTTTTTAGTTGGTTTTGTTTCACATTATTATTTGTTTTTGAAGATCCAAAGTTTAAATTACTGACCTAGTGAAAATTTCTGGCCCAGCATGTCAGGACTGCTGTGACCCACTCATAGTCACCCTCTGGCTCTGACAGGGGATTCATAAAACGCAACATTCTGCTAAACATAGCAAAGAAAATGTCAATGGGAAATCATAACTGAAGGTTAATTGTACAAAGTTCAAATGCTGGCTCCATGGGCTGGAAATCATGATCTTCCACGTGGAGGCTCGTCACTAGCGGGCGGCAGGCTGGGTGCCGATCTGCTACATGATTGTGATCCAATTCCTTCAATAATTCCACACTACCAAGTCTGTGGCAACTTAATTTGCAAGTAATTAAAATGCTGGGTTTTCTCACACTGCACTTCTTTTCAACCTCTTAATTAATGGAAAAGATTAAAATGTAAAAAAAGTTATTTACAAGCTTGACCATACCAGAAACTCTGCCAAGAAAGAGGCAAAGCGTTCAGGACAGTAACCGATCGTAGCATGCCGTACTACTGGTGTGCAGCTGACTCGAGCAAGGAGTCAGAGAAAAAGCAAAAGCAAAAAACAGGTTAAAAGTCTAAGGCCTCCCCAAGTCTGCATTTACAATTAAAAACTCTCTTGGGAAGAAGACCAGAGAACTCTGGGAAACCCGGCAGCCATTCTGGAGTGGTTTACCGTATTGAGAGAGAGGGGCCAATGTCTCTGTTTCCGTCTCAGAAACCAGTCAGGCGTCAACACTGCCCTCAGCACTTCACAGTAAACCCGCAGGGACTCAGACATTCCATGATTTGTTAACATCAAACAGCAAGTTCTAGTTAAATCACATTTTTCTAACATCATCCTTGAAGTTTTCGTTCTCAGTTTGTTTGGTAAAATGGTGTAAAAATGATGCTTTTCCCAAAGCCAAAAGAAGAAAAAAGGGAAAAAAATTAAGATGTGGGCCGTTTAAACACAGCCCAGAGCAGTCCCGGCGCCCAGCAAG